GTTGCTTAACCCGAAATCCGAAGTTCCTTATCAATATACCCTACCTTAACCCTGAATAACTTACTTTTTTAGGGTTCCTTAATATAACTTCCTCAGATAAATCCTTCAAAAGGTAGGTTCTTTGGGGTCAAGGAAAACCCCGAATTCCTCAGCGAGAACCCAGTTGAAAGGCTCCTCGCTCGGAGGCTGCTGCGGAGGCTCGGGCTCGCGGAAGTTCACTCAGGGTTTGGGGTTCAGGGATGTTTAGGGTTTAGTGACCCTAAACCCTAACCCCTAAACCCTAAACCCTGCTAGGTTACTCTTAGGTCTAGTATATCACCCAAGGGCTACTTGACTCGGGACCTGGAGGAGGCCTGGACGTAGGAATGGCCCGACTGGAACCCTAAGGGTCCATGTTCCCAAATAGTATATGCTTTGGCCCTAATGTACCTAAATAGGAACTACTTTAAGGTCAAAGTATATATTACTTGGGTACATGGACCCTTGGGGGAAGCGGAGGTCCCTGCCCGCAGACGCCGGTGCCTGAAGGGCCAAGTTTGAACCTTTAAAAGTATAGAGGCCCCTTTGTACCCATGTAATATGAATCCCTATATGGTATATGAACCTATAAACCCTTTTAGGGTTCATTTCGTCCTTAAGGTGCTTCTCACTTACGACTCGGTCGACCCTCAAGCAGTGCAGGGATGGTGGGACCAGAAGGCCGCGACGGCTACGGATATCGTCCACGGCCGCAGAAATGGGACGCATGTCTGGCAGTATGTGGACCGCTACGTGGGGAAAATGGGGAAGCTTTGGTATCAATAAGTTTCTAGCTGCCAGAGACAGAAGAATTCTCGCCAGCTACTTGATAGGCAAAATCAGGGACCGCTACTTGCAAGAGAAGCGCCTCCAGCATCGGCGCTGCTCTGAGTTCATCGGGCTCCATGTTCGACTTGACGGCATTGGGGATGAACTGAGAGAGCTGCCCGTTCGACAGGCACCGCCGGCAAAATGCCGATTCCGCGCCATATAGTATAAGCAAGGGGATTGGAATACACCACATCGGAGGATAGAGTCTGACACGAGGTATGGGAAAGAAAGAGGTAATTTATAAGTCAATTACCAATGCATGCCTGCCTCCAGACTGCCGGTTCTAGTGACATAAGATACCTTCCTGGAAAAGCCCGTAGTAGCTACTAAGGCCGTATCAGTGCACATCGTTCTTGTTCAGATCCTGGCGTGTCCCGGCGCAGGTCAACAGAAGCAGAGAACTCAAGAATCCCGGTTGGATCCAGCTCTTGGGTTGAGATGCATACGGCATACTTGTATGAAGGCTCATGGGACTTAGTAAATGGGGTTATAAGTAGGGTAACTACAGTTATAGTTACTTATAACTCCAATTAAGGTACTTATAACCCCACTTACTAAGTTCCATGATCCTCCAAGTACGGCATAAATAATGGGTACGTGCATAAACAAAAAGCGCTATGTCGTTTACCAGATATCATATCAACTCATCTGTTTGTGCAGGTGTTATGCTGTATGTACATACAATCATCCGTACGCACATACCTACATGAATAAATACATAGACGCACATATCATGTCACCGGATCATAATCAAGCCCTACGCCCTAAACCCTGAACCCTGACCCCGAAACCGGAAACCCCAAGATCTCTGGTGTTCCATGGATAGTTGCGTGAGCGTGCTCCGGATTCCCGACCCCCCTGGCCCAGGCTCCCTCCAGCCCTTAACCCTAAACGTGTCTCCAGAGCCCTGTAAAGGATGACTCCTGCTTTGAGACGGCCCACCTTGGCCGGCTGCTCCCTCAGGGAAACACTTGCTGAGTTGGTTCTGGCATTCACGGTTAACCTTAACCCTGAATAACCTACTTTCTTTGGGTTCCTTAATCTTTTTTCCTCAGATACGTCCTTAAAAAGGTAGCTTATTATGAGTCACATGGTCCGTCAACCACCCCACCTACGACTTCGAGTATGCCGATGATACTCTTCTAATCTCGTTGACCACACCGCAACTACAAACGGTCCTGTCACTGTTGAAAACTGAAGCAGCTCGGTACGGTATGTCCTTAAACGAGACCAAAAGCGAGTATCTGCCGAAACCCGGCACAGACTCCGAACTTCATTTCCTGTCGGGCGACAAAGTCCCGAAGGCAGATAAGGTTAAATACTTGGGATCCATGATTAGCTGGGCTCGCCCTTTCTATGAGGCCTTTCATCATAGTCTCGCTCTTGCTGAAGCAGATTTTAAGAAATTGCGTTTGGTATGGAACTCGACCATGCCGCAGCAGCGCAAACTTAAGATCTTCCATTCGAGCATCGTCCCCTCGTTGCTGTATGGCCTTGATTCTCTTTCAATAACGGACAAAAACCTTCACACACTGAATGGACAGTACTATAGATTTCTTAGAAGGGTCCTACGCATCAAAGCGGCCTATTACTCTCGAATCCCAAACACGGAGGTTTGGGACCGGGCGGGTAGACCACACCGCGCGGGGGACACTCTGAACGCCACACAGCACAAAATGCTGAGGGAGGTATACAGCCATAGTAAGGAAAACCCTCTACACAACGTGGTCTTTTGTTCGGCGTATAAAGACCGCATCCTATCACAGGGCAGACGTAGAGGCAAACCCATTCCGTATTGGATCAATACCATGCTGAGAAGACACTATCCAAGCTTGTCTGACCACACCGCAGGGAAATACTTTGGGCCGCAAGTTAGGTACGCAGAGCTAGGCCGAACCTTGCGACAATCCCTAGAGAGGGCGCCAAAGCGCGCAGCACCGCGCGCATGGCCCTAGCAGAAAATTATGAGTCAAGGAAGGTATAACGGGTTTATGAAGTAGGGGGTGGGCCTGCTGCCTTATATGTCAGGGTTTTGCTCGCTGTATTTGGTATCCGCCTGTGTTGGAGTGGTCGTGAGTACTTATTCGGGGCGTCCGCATGGACTTTCAGGACGCCGATTGCAATCAGTACCCTACATCACGTGACTTCAGTGTTCCTACTCCAGCAAACAGTCCAGGCAAACACTGGATGTTCGCAAAACTGGCGGTCGCACACTTGCACAGTCAGACAGTGGAAGAGACATCTGTGTATGTGTGTGTGTAGACAGAGAGGGAGAAAGAGTGAGAGAGAGAGAGAGAGAAAGCAAGACGGCTATGCGTGAGTGACTATATATAGAGCAGGAGAGAGAGAGAGCGAGAGAGAGGGAGAGAGACTATATCTGCCTGCTTGTAAATATACGTATATGAGCATGTACGCTTACATGCATAGTTGTCTGGCCGCAGTCTAGCTAGATATTGGTTTGCTGTTTCGCTTCTTATAGGTATACACGCACGTGGTATATGCATATAGATATATATATCCCAGTGGGTCCGTGTCGCTGAGTGTAGACACATTGGGGGCCGTGTTCGTGCATACAAGATGTTGTCCCTATGTTATTGAATACAGAGACATTGGCCAATCGGCTTGTTAGATCGACCACGACTCCGACGTAATCAGACGACAGCGACGACTGACATCAAATTCTAAAGAGTGTGTTCCTTGCAGATGTCACTGAAATGGGCAGCTAGCTCAGGGATGTATCTTTTCGCTGCTTTGCCGACAGTGCCGCAGCAAGCTCTCGTGTCTTTAAACTGGCATTGGCAACTCTTCAGCAGACTACTGCTTGCTACTGCACTGCTCCCTGTCATCTTGCATCTGCATCTGGTGTTTTTCGAAGCTTTCTGCGACACGGCGAAGACGACGGGCCAGAGTCCAAGCTGACGGCCATACCTTGCTGGGTTACTATAATAAGATTAATGTCAGCTGCCTATGTCTAGCTATTGATGTTCACCTTTATGCCACCCAAGCACAGAAGCCTCCAAGGTCTTAATGGCACGAAGCATTCTGCTGAGAGAATACTGACGTCGCAAGATCATCTTGAGTGCGTCCTTGCTTCTGAAGTGAGGTGGCCGGCCATCGCCACATTCGGCTCTACAGCTTTTCTTTCCCATCAGCCGCAGTAAGCTAAGGGCTTTATTTGATAAGAACAGCAGCAGCTGCACAACAAAAGTTTTCATAAGGCGAACACCGACACACGAAAATGTGACTGCCGCAAACATCACCAGAGTCAGCATCGTACTAGGGGGCAGCAAGCAGAAGCAGTAGTCTTAAAGTAATCGTTTCCTTTGGGGGCTTCTGGGGCCTGAAAGGGCACATTTAAGGGATCCGGTAAGGGTTTAGGGTTGAGGGGTTTAGGATTTTTGGCCGAAGGTCTGGTCACAGAGAGTTCATTCAACACCCTAGAACCAAGCACAGCAGGGTCAGACGGCATTCAGCATCGAACCTGCACCCTAAGTCTGGAGGGGGCTAGCTATGTATTCCATGCGAGCTCAAAGCTCACGAGCCTCACCAGCAACCATATGTATTTCCAGCGGCTTCAGAGCTTGGGGTTATCTTTGATCTAGATCACAACTTCCTACATTCAGCTTCAAACTTCTAGGGATCCGTGCCATTAATAGGGCATCTATGCTGGGGTTCAAGGGCTCAAGGCGCCGGGGCTTAAGAGCATGAGCAGGATGTATTCGGCATTGTAGTCGTCGTCGGCTCTGACTGATGTGTGCACCCTTTGGCCCACTCCTACCTGAAATCCCATTTCGAATCTGAATTCCCTATATCCCTACGTCCAAGAGATCAGGGGGCTTGAGAGACCGTAACAGGAAGAGTTCGGGGTTTACAGTCGCGGATTGCTACAATGCCAGCTATGGGTATTCGGGATTGGTGTTTTGAACGTTACAGTTTGGGGTCCACTGCCTCCATGGCGTTTTGGCTGTCGCGGCGACGTCGCCAGCTTGCCCGAGGCAGACGACGGTACACATGTAATTAACTTCGTCCTCATGAGGGAATACCCTCACTAGGCATAGAATTAAACGGATCGAGCTTACAGCTGCATTGTCTAACTCTTGCTGCAAAGCTACGACTACCTTTCACGGCTACAGCTTGCAAGCACGAAACCTTCAGTGGCTTCCGCTACCCTTTGAGTAGCAGAGCTGAAGATACACACGGGCCAAGGTCATTTCTTCCACCGATCTCTTGTGGCATGCCTGAGCAATTCCTTGGCCAGAATACAATAAGATTCGTGCTGCTATCGACAGGTGTTGCTGACTACTTTGACTTGTACAGGTGGACAAGTCAGCAGCCAAGACCCGTACTCACCACAGACCCAACCATATCCTCCTGCCGGAAGCAGTGATAGGTTCGCGGGTTAATGCCTTGGAATGCGAAGCTCATGACTACCCTTGCAGTTGCACTCATCATGATGCAATCAAGCGAGAATGTAAGGTTCCTCGTATCGACAAGTTACGGTGCTTCGCAGCCCAGAATGCAAGCTCCTGCCATCCCTGAGGTACAGGTTTTCCACAGGATATAGAAAACTTGACTGAACGAAGCCCCTCGCATTAGAATAACAACTGAATCTGAGAACATGGCATGAAACTTCGGCTTCACTGGAAAGAGGCAGATCTTCTCTTCCACAGCTCGCTTTGCCAGCTGCAGGTAGGCATCCAAAGAGCAGTCCTCAATTGAAAAACGCACAGCGATGGATTCTTCAAATATTTCTAGATGAACTGACCAGCAGCCAAGCCTAAGCCGAGAAACACATGCACAGACAAGCGTGCTGGCATCCTCGGGTTGCAGGTATCGCGAGCATCGCTCAGTCACATTGAACCAGTTCGCCAGGTGCCACCTGGGATTCTGGAAAGTAGCATGGGGTTGGCAGGCTTATGGGTTCCATTGATTTTACAGATTGTTCAGGACTAGACATGTTTCAATATTGGAATACCGCGGTGTCTCGAGGTTTCAGTGCTTTAGGATATGTCGGGGTTCAGGGTTTCTGTATTTCCATGGGTCGAGAGCTGGTGTCTGAGGGTTTTGCAGGTGTGTGGGAGTTAAAGGGTTGCTTGGTATATATAGGCTAATTACAACTACGAGCCGGTCGAAGTCTTATCTTCCTCGTGTCGCGTAAGGAACCGCAAATAGGATTGATGTAAGGGTCATGTGGATGCTCTTTCAGCCTTATTGTTATTAATTAACGATGCGTTGATATTGAAGCCGATGCACAGGGAGGCGGCAAGCAGCTGCTGCGATTCCGTTTCCAGATACTGCACAGCTTTGTTGGCCAGCCATGCAACCACGACTCGTCCCTGCATAGGGGTCACGATAAGCTAGCTTCGCACTACATCTAGCAATTTTTACCGTATCGTGTCAACACATCGGACCATTGCCAGCTGAGTTGCATTGTAAGCTTTGCACTGGAACGTGGGGTAGCGATCCAGGTTGGACATCTTGAAGGCCGGTTGGCTGTGTCTGAGTTTGAATAAACCATGCAACGTGTAAACAGCATCTTTACCTAGCTACTGCACGGGTTTCGAAGTCAAGGTGCGGGATACGGTGGGCCTTGCACCACTCGTCGAACTCGGCATAGGCCCGCTTAAGTTGTTGGTCGTCGTCGTAGACATCATGTTCACACCATCGTCTGTCCCGCAACATCAGCCGAAGACCGGAGCCGACGAGGAATTGCACCAGCCCCAAGTTAAGCGTGTGCATGCTGCACCAACGAATATACTCCGGGCTGAAGTTCTTCAGGCGTAGCAAGGAACCTTTCTAGAATACTTATACACATACCATATATATATATATAGGGGCTCCGGGGTTTCAGGAACCGGGCTTAGAAGCATAGTTTTTAATATTAAGGCTGGTGCCTACCTTATAGTAAACTGAGCCCACGACCCCTAGCTAGAGCAAGCCCTAGTAATTATGCAGCCGGTCACACTCCGACTTGCGGCAGGCGTGCTCTTCGAAGTCTGCTGCATCTCGCCTTTCATCAAGGTTTCCCGGCACACTGGCGTAGTTGCTCTTGTGGGCTTTGCAGTGATGACAAACTTGATTGCAGCACCACCCCACTTTCAGCGCCAGCCATTCCTGAAGGGCCATGTTAATTAGGTCTTATTATATATATATAGGGTTTAGGGTTTTAGGGTTTTAGGGTTTAGGGTTTTAGGGTTTTAGGGTTTGGGGGTTTTAGGGTTTTATAGGGTTTAGGGTTATTGTTAATTTTAATTTCTGTAATTAAAGATGGGATGAGGCCGCTGTAGCTATAGGTTTAGCCCCAGGAGGAAGATCTTTTTCATCGGGGGGGGGGGGGTCGGTTTAATTTATAAGTATTAAATATATTATTATCTTAAGGAGTTGGGATTAGGGCCATGTAATACCCTGAGGCAGGATCTTCGTGTAGTGTAGAGAATTACAGGAAACTTCTCATCACAAGACTCGGGTTGTGTTGCAGGGATAACGGATTAGAAGTTGCAGTTTGAATGCCGCCACAACAAGCGTAAGCCGGTGGTTTCGACTAGTCCTGAATCCGTAGGGGCCCCTGAGTACTGCAGAGTCAAAGGGCTAAGCATCTAAACCCCTAGACCCTAAACCCCTAAACCCCTGAACCCTAAGCCCTTAACAAAAAAAGATCGCCTAAACCCCTAAACCCCTGAACCCTAGAACCCCAAACCCATAAAAGAAAAACTAAACCCCTAAACCGGAAACCTAGCAACACGAGTACTGTCCCAGGTCAAGGGGGTGCAAAGGGGGAGAGGGGTGGCAAAAGCTGCCACCCCTCTCTCCCTTTGCACCCTCTTCACAGTTCTGGCCACCGCCGAGCAGGAGTGGAGGCTTGCTGGGGACTGGGGATTATGTGGTCGCGTCTTAATAATTGAGGTACATTCGGGCTTGTTCACTAATGTCGGGCGGCCTTGTGCCACTTCCAATCGCCTTGAAATTGCACCACTGCAGCAAAAACACGTTTGCGTTCGCCACTTGGAGTCTCCACCATGACACCCTGCTCAAAGAGGATGTTGAAAGAAGCCACGACCTCCGGCCATTCCAAAAAGCTAAATTCCGTCTAGCTATGCTTCCATCATTTGCACTGTTTAATTGGACTACTCAAATCCCATGAAGAGCCTCCTCCAGGAAGGTGTTGAGAGTCCCAGGCCCAGCGCTTTGCCCCTGAGGGTTACGTAGGTCTAGAATATATATTATAATATATTACTTGTTTCTTTGACATGTTTTAGGTTTTGAGGTCGTACTGGGTGGCTGAAAATCAGGACATAGGTTTCAAAGGGACTATTAATATCGGTAAGAATAATAGATAATGCTAGCTTGGATTTCCCCACCTGCTGGTAAAGAAAGAGAGGCCATACTGTCTCGAGGGCATTCTTGGAAGTCTCAAGCACCCTGCCAAAAGCCACAACCACAAGCTTATCCTCGTGCGTCTCTGTGAATCTGGCATCGTCACCCCAGAGATACAGCGGGATATGCGAGTCCGTGGCCCCCATGGTTGGCATCCCGGCCGTTCTAGCATGAGACCAGAACTCTCCAATCTCAGCCGTATCATTCAGCGGAATAATACCCTGCTTCACAAGCCAAGGAAACACCTCGTGAGGCAGCACCACAGGAAGACTCCTTGGATTACACGACTCTAGGACTGTAGTCTACTCTAAATTTTAAAGCATTGAAGATTGAGACCAGAGGCCGTTTCTTCAGCATGCCCTTCGCGTTTACCGGGACCTGCAACTTGGTAACCGGAACCTGGGATGGGGCACCTAGTAACACCATATATTGCAGTGAAATGTAGCTAGGTAACAATAAACACACAAGACCCTCAAGTGCATATGTGAACATGCATAGAAGAGACCTTGGCAGCTTTGCACTTTCGGAGCATATCCCGCTGAAAGTTGCTCGGCCATTTTCCCGAAGAGGAAATCAAATGCCCTGCAGCTCCTCCAAGCTCCATGCCCGAGACCTGGAACTCTTGGTTCACAGCCTCAAGCATCTCGCGAGCCCCCACAAACGAAGTCACCTCGGCTTGGATGCAGGCCCAGGAGAAGACAAATCGAGAAGGCCGAAGTTTCAAGCTTGGGGTTGGAGCAGGGTTGGAAGGCTAAGGCTTCGTAGATAGTTTAGTGTGTCAGGTCACGTGCAACTTCGAATCATTGCAATTCCAAGCGTGGCCTGGGGTTTCGGGGATGATGTTTGGATGTGGCTTGCACTAGTGCAGTACTAACAGTAGGACCGTCTGCACTAGTGGTTACACCTTAACTACCATCCAGGGCGACGGTTAGGGGCGTGCAGTAATCGCTAGGTTTAAGTTGTTACTAGGGTTTGGGGGTCTAGGGTTTAAGCAAATTATAATGCAAGCCAGTAGCTCCTTTGCCGATGCTCCGCAAGACATATGCATGGAGAGGAGTGCTCACACTCCGACCTGCGTGGGCAGTATGCATATTATTCTAGTCCACACCTAGCTGTCTGACCAATCTTGCTGCATCTACAGTCTGACACAATGCATTTTGCAAGAAGAGCACACATGTAGATCGGGCGACGACCAACGTCGCAGCGGTTCAGATGCAACAGCTTCGCTGCTCTAAAAGGTCTTGCATCCTAGTCAATGCAAGCAAGCTTTAAACCGCCTATGGCTCATCGCAGCTGCACAATGCAGCATCTTTCTAGATTGTACCCACTACAACATCTAGCTAGCTATCTAACCGGCTTGGGATATGTATCCCGGATGTAGAAACACTAGCTACAGCCCTAAAGCCCGAAACCCCACAGCCCTCCAGCTCTAGAGCTCTGGATACTACGCATATATTAAGAGTGCCACATATCCCAGCTGCTTCTGATGGCCATGGCACAAGACTCGGCGCCAAAATTCCTACTGATAGGCTATCACGAAGAAGCTCGATAGCCTACCCGTCATCAGAAGCACCCTTGAGCAGGCAGTGACACCTGCTCAGCGGCCCTTGCCAGCCCTGCCCTTGGCCTTCGCTTTGGGTTCCTTCGGCGTGGCCTGGGACACATGTAGCTGCAAGCATTCCGGAGTATGCATAGCATGATGTGTATAGTCAAAGCCTAGAAACAGTAGCCGTTTTCACGGCTTTCATCTTGCCGTTCAGCACAACGAATGCGCTCTCCACGTCCCGAAGAATCTCGTCATACACAGCTCTCTCGGGGCCCACCTCAGATAGTTTCAAGGAGGACTGATTACAAGACGACCTGACAGGATTGGAAAGTGGTTGCTTCATTAAAGTCTTGAACCGGGGCACAATGTCAACATCGTCCAACTTTCGTGCAAACCATGCCTCGAGCTTTCCCCGAGCCTCCTCCACCAACTGCTTGCCCTCCTCGAGCTCCTGGGAGTAGCCCTCCCTCATCTTGTCAGACCTGAAGAAAGAAGTGGATTCTGTCTGAAACATAGGGTCCATAGGAGCCTTGGGGACTTTAAGCTCGCGGGGTGTAAGGTCGGAAAGGGGCCTTTGATTGCATTCTAAGATTAGTACTGGAGGGGTATTGATGTTACATTTGGCATGGACTTCACTGGGTGTACATTTGAGATCAGTGCGATTTAGGAGTTGTTATGGTATCCAGTCCGGAATACAATATTGCAGGTTGCAGGGTTTGGGGTCCAGGCTTTTAGCTTCAGAGTACAAGGCCAGGGACTGTGGCATACCGACCATATGTACATGTACAGTTTAAGGGCAGTTTGGCACACGTGGTTTATCATTAACTATTTGTTTCGGAGATGGAGGCCGCGGGAAGCTACAAATGATGGCTTGGTGTGTGATCTCATTAAGGATGGCTACATAATATTAATCAATCAAATCAGCTCTTGATAATCTGATCTTCTCAGGCTGAGAGGCATTTGCGTGGCAGCAGGCAGCTCGGCAGCCAGAACACGGGCTTCGGTTAGCTTCGAAGAGATTTGAGAGAGCTTTGTCGTGGCGGCTTTTCGCAGGGAGGTTTTGCCTTTGGATTTTCCCTTTCCCGGGACTTGCTCTGGGGCTTGACCGCCGGCACCGGGGGTGGCGGGCGGGGCGGGAGGCATCTTAGCAGGCACAGGGATCACCGAGTAGGACGAACTGGCCGGAGCGCCCGGCTGGTGGTAGCTTCCCCTTAGCTAGTGCAACAATCAAGCAACAAGCAGTAGAGGCCTATATGTGTTAAAAGTAATCTGTTAAATGGGCCCATATCCTAGTACATAAGTACACTAGCTAATTATAGACTGTATAGTGACCAGGTAGGTGTTGAAAGTGATGAGAGATCCTATAATTGGGTGGAACCCCGACTGCCCCAGACTCAATCCCATAGAGGAAGTGAAGGCTTATCCGAAATCCATCCAACAATATGTAAAACCTGCAATATTGGAAGTCGCGGCACACAAGAGCCCTTGTAGCATCAGCATCGAGAGTGCCCTCTGCCCTGAACGAATGCTCCTGCGTGCTCGTCTCGTCGTCCTCGAACTCCATGGAGTCGTACACTTTGAAGCATTCCCACTCCTGCTTATGCAAGGCTCTGTACAAAGCATTATGTTGCAAGTGTGGGCTCATGTGTACTTAGAGCAGTGTACACCACTACCTATACATCCTAAACTTTCACTATATCCATGTTACAATGAAAACCCTCCCAGTTTAACATGTCTATATATATACACATCTTGTTGGATATACACGATACATGCTTCGCACATAAGTGTGTTTGTTATGTTATATTATATATATATATGCAACCTTACTATATATATATATACATATTAAACCTAGTATACGATCTAGATATGTTATTATAGACATGTGTGGACGTATATCTAGTGACTGCTTCGACATCGATGTCCTCGCTCTCCCCCATTTCTGGATGCGGCCACCACCATTCGGAGCCCAACTCCTTTTTTTTTTCGCGGATTGCCTTGGCACTGGCGCTGCCGTACAGTGCCTTCAGGTCCCGAAACGTTTTCATAACGTATTTTCCGCGGCGTCGTTGTGTTTTGGAGAGCTTGGCGTTAAAGACGATGCTTGAGTTGTCCCAGTTTTCGGCAGCCTGGACCCACTCTTCGAAGAGTCTCGCAATGATTGTTCGATCTGAGATGTGATGCAAAACTTCACCCTAGAAACTTAATGATAACAGAACAATATGTCATATTTGCCCTCATACCCCAGAGGAAACGAAAGGCTATACCAATTCGTGATTTTCGTCAGGTGGCTGTATCGCTTCCCCTTTGCCGCCTCCAGCACAGGCTGCGGGCAAAGCGGGCCTTGCATCAAGAGTCGGTTTTAAGCCAATCTTGGTTCCAGTTGGGTTGGGCTTCCAGGATAGCATCTGGTAGTGTATGCTGTTGTTGCTGGCATAGTGGGCTACATAGCGGCTTGGGATAGCACATTCTAAGCCGAGGTGTTTGTTTTGTTTCAGCTGGTTTACATACATTATTGAAGCTAAAATACGATTAGCTGATAGTGCATAAACCACCGGTACCAATTCTTTCAGGGCACTGTCGAAGCTCCGATTGAACCTCATCCGCATGTTGTGAGCAAGCCTTCGGTCCTGCTCGTCCGGGGTTTCGTAGGTGCCGTCGGCACGTTGCAACAGCAAGCCGTACTGCATCATCTCTTTCAGCGTGTCTTCCTGTATAGCAGGGATCGGGGTGGTTGCACTTTAACGATGATTCCATGTAGGTTATTATAAGTATTCCTGTATACTAGAATATCCAGGTACTAGTTTCTGCTAGCACTTTGAATCGGATGCCGTCTGGAATATTGCTACTCCAACATGTACTGCAATTACATGCCTCTCCTCTTGCTGCTGCTCCTGTCTGCTAGCTTTATAGGTATGTGTATGTATATAACAGATATGCCTATATATATACATACAAACAGCATTGTAGTCGTACATACATCTGCATGTATATATATATATATATGTATTCTATATGTACAGATGTACACATATATATATATGTATATATATATAGACATATTTACAGGTTTACTACTACTGCCACGACGACCACTAGTGACGAGGGCATCCAAAGCTGCTACTGTGTTACAAGGGAGTCATGGTCAAGGCTGGTCTTTACATACAAAGATTGCAGGTTTAGGTATGGTGCTCAGTGTCTCACTGATAGCATACATAGCTAGCCACATCACCCCTCTGCTAGTATGTAGCTGGGTGTATGTTTCAATATGGGATCCTTATACACTTACGGCGACCCCCTAGCAGCCTGAAGCACGGTGGCATCCAGGCGCTGAAGCCCGGTCCGCGTGAGCTCGAGTTGAAGCTGCACAGCACGATCAGGAGGGGGCGGGGGCAGCATTCCACGTGGAGGTCGCTCCTCCTGCTAAGCATTAAAGCCCAAACCTTATGGTACAATAAATATATTATATGCTATAGGCCTAGGGAGGTTTGTGGACACGTATGCAACATAACCCCTAACTTGTGACGGTATATATGTATGTACATGTGTATGCACATTGCAGGTGTGTATGTACATGGTACATGTACATGTGTGCACACCATCCCATATAGTAGGAAAATATTATGCATGCATATATGAGTACCCAGAAGAATATCTCTCTCTCTATATTATATATATATATATATGTATATATGCTACATGGCACATACGGGCATGCAAAAACATACACCTGCATATGGAGGCACCATGTTTCAAACCATGTCCTTGGCGGGGTGAGCCGAAGCAGGGCACACATCCATGGGGGATGTCTGGATCGTTCCCCCGGTCCCAGCTGCACCAGCACTGCCCGAGAGTGCCAGGGTTTCCATGTGCTGCTCGACCTGCAGCATCATCGCTGCAACAATCTCATCCTCAGTCTTTGGCCTGTCCCGCTCATACAAAGAGCGGGCAAGCCTCAAGAGGCCACCCACTGTCGCCTCCGCCCTCTGCACAGCCTCATTGATCTGAGCATCTGTGGCTGCAAGCTGGCGTGCACCTTCATCCAGGATCCCCTTCTTCCATGATGCCATTTTGGCCGCGATGGCCTGGCTGTGGGAGGAAACCCCTGCGAGGCCCGTCTGCACCACTTGTCCGAGAGCCTTGGCCACAGCTTGCTCCACGTGCTCCATCTTCACGTGATGCTGCTGCTTTTGGGTCTCCCTAGTCTTCACCAAGGAGCACACGGTTCCCCAATCATCAATGCATTTCTTCGCCATGCTGCTAAACTCATCGTCACCCGGCCCTGCATGGAGCTCCACGTTCTGCAGATCCTTGATCCACTCCACCACTAGATCAGCCAGGTCGAGCTTGCTTTTCGAATCATTCTCATCTGCACCATCACCGAAAGCAGTAAACAGCTTGTTCTGCAGCACAAGGGCTTGCTCCGGCAACTACAGTGGCCCTGTTGGCTTGAGAGGGGTGTCCATCACCATGGAATCCAGCGTGTAGCTGCGGCCCAAGGTCAGCGTGGTCATGGTGTCAAGACGGTGCACTCCTGATACACAGCAGCAATTCACTGTTTTGCAAAACACCATATACAGCAATCGTTTGAAAGTGCACTTGATCAGCATCATATTTTGACACATATAATAAATACACATGTTATATACTTGACGGGTCTAGCAGCTGTCACTGGACTGCGTGTGCTCCACCACGAGAGGTTCTTGCTTGCTCTGCTCCACGAGAGGTTCTTGCTTGCTCTGCTCCACGAGAGGTTCTTGCTTGCTCTGCTCCGCCACGAGAGGTTCTTGGTTGCTCTGCTCCACCCCGAGAGGTTCTGGGTTGCTCTGCTCCGTCACGAGAGGTTCTTGCTTGCTTTGCTCCACCACCTTGAGAGGCTCTTGCTGGCTTTGCTCCACCAGCTGTTGCTCCACGATCTGCGGCTCCACCAGGGTATCAGCCTTGGTGTCATGCTACAGTACACAACACTGCCATGCTACAAGTTGCGTTTCACATTCGATCAAAATGCTTGGCTAGGAGCAACCTCTAGCGCCGGCATGAGGTTGCGAGGGCTAAGCTGTCCAGGCTTCTCCGGGGAAGGAGGCTTCACTGGGACTGGTGCCTCCATTGCCAAAGTGCCCTTCGAGCTGGGTGTGCTAGGCACAGGAGGCAAAGGCTGGGGAAGGCCCTCCAAGGCCATCTCTCGAGCAGAGGAGCCCGAAGCCTGCGAAGCACCTTGCTGCGACGGGGCCTCCAAGACCTCTGGCGAAAACTGGCGGGATCTCTTCAGGTCAGGACTCTTCGTGGCGGGTGTCAAGGCGACCGCCGCCTGTATCCCCGAGGAGTCCCTCACTCGTTTTGCCACATCCTGCAGTTCCTTCTCCATGTCAAACGAATCTTCTGCGGCATCAGCCTGAGCAATCTCAAAAGGCGTGTTGTATACCCACAGCAACACCACATGCCGTGTACAGTCCCCTATGTGTAGTTTCCATATATTCCACACACAGTATATTATATACGTGTATATATACATATATATATACGTGTGTATATATATATACATATATATATATGTATGTATACATAGGTCCATGCACACATATGCATGTACAATAGACATAAGCTTAAGCATAATGGTTCACGATAGGTAGAAGAACTCGGACCACATGCCAAGTTTTGTTTTAACTGGGTTGCATGGTGTCGTGGCATAGAGCTCTCTGTGGGGCCTAATATAATATCCGGGGCACCTACATGTATATGATTGTAAATTATTACACAGTCCTAGCCAGGGCCTTCAGGGGTAGAGTATGCATACGACGTAGGTCTATGGTGGCGAAAGTAGCGACAATGGTACACATAATGCCGGCTTGTAGCTGTGCTTCCAGCATCTGCAGGCACACGTGCAGACATGGCTCAGGGTAATCCTCAACCCTTGTTCGAATTGAAAGAAGCCTGCGAACCCACGGTGAGCCCCAATCGGAAGCAATGCCCCTGACGAAATCCGGCCGAAGCCTCTGAAACTGCCTCCTGTAAAGCCCTGGTACTGCAGACCTCGAGAAAAGCTGGCTCGGAGCCAGAAAAGGCAAAGTAACGAAAGTCACGCCCAAGTAACGCCCCGCACTCTCCAGGCACGAGCACCGAACGGAAAGTAACGCAAAGTAACGCGAAAGTAACGCCTCACTTTTGCCTCCCTCCTGCAGGAAAACGAGTCCCGAGCCGGATTGCCCTGCAGACAAGGCCAGAAGTGCTGGTGGCTGCGAAAGCAGTCAAGGCTGTCCCTGAACCCCTACAAAATACGGGGAATAAAGTACATTAAGGCCTATTTTAAGTGGATTTCCTCGAGGAAACCTAGGTATTCCTTTACATATGGTTTCAAAGGTATGGTTTTTGCTAGGAAATACAGCACTACGGGGTGAAAACCTATTATTTCCGGCAAGTAAAACCACTGGAGTGTGTTTTTTCATAGGAAAATCACTACTCCTAGGCTTCCTTTCAGGGCTTCCTCGCAAAGCACACAGAATCCCTGGGTTTCTCCGCCTGAACACGAGGTTTCCGGAAGACGAGTCTGGATTCTGCTAGGAA